TGCAAGTATCTCTATTTAATTCTTTGTATATAATATAAAGTTCAACCACAGAAGTAAGTAAGGATTGATCAGATATAGGTTTTCCGTATTTCTGGCTTCTATATTTCTACATATTTCTCACCACAAAATAACAAAAAAAAACCCCATCATAACAGCCATTCATGCCACCCAAATTTGTCTAGCTGTACATGACTTTATTATTCCAAATCATCTATCCTTGATGACAAACATGTCCTCTGCAAATCTGCTAAGCTATGTTGATTAAAGCCAAAGAGTATTATATATTTAATATCATAAGTGATTAAAAGGAACAAATGAGGCATAAATATTCTTCACAGTAAATAAATTAAGCATAAAATACTTTTGAGATCCAAGGTTTGTGAATAATAATTTTCATTAAAGAAATTTACACTTCATTATAATAGACAGTTCTTAGAGCTTTTGCTTTGTTGTGTTTCTTGATTTCTTCTTGGGGAGCAAAAACAGAATTTTTATAATTGAAAAAAGTCTATAAATAAATTAATGGTTATTACAATTCAACAATACTTGTACAACCATGTAATTTCAGTATTGTTGGATGGAGTTTTAGTAACAATTTAAAGTAAAAAAAAAGGTTTAATAATGTAATATATTAGTTTTTGTTAAGTGCAAATAAAGGAAAAAAATACCTTGGAAAAAAGGGGAAAACAAAGTAATGGTTTTCTTTAACTTTTTTTGGTGTTGCAGGTTTTAAATATTAGTTGACATGAAATAAAATTTCCTACAGTCATGTATTAATCACTTCATGGTTGAACTACTGCAACACAGAGTTGTCAAAAAAATAATTTGTAAAAAGTAAAAGTAATATATACAAAGCACAATAAAGCAAAGAACAATATAATGATGCATGCCTATACAGTAGTCCTAGTCAGTAGTTCTTACTTAAGGTAAATATGCATAGATAATTACAGGGGAGAATGCATCTGGTTTTTTCCATTTAATTTGGATGTGATAAATGTGAATTCATTGAACTGAGCTTTCAATACAAGGAAACACAGACATTATTCTGTCTTAAGTCCTGCTGAGTTCAGATGAATATGCTTAGAGCTTCAAGAATATGCTTAGAATATTCTTAGAACTTCCTGTTCAGTCAGTGTACAGCCCCTTCTCCACTATGGAAAATCTCTATGTGGGAGTGTTCCACCAACTGTAGAAAGCCTTGATGGGTAGAAGAGGTTCTCAATGACAGAGATAAAACCTCTATATGAGGAGAGAGGGGTTCATCCATTTTCAGGTAAATATACAAATGTTCTGCTTTGGAAAATAAATACTGTAAATCTAAGTTATATATGTGACAGGATAAAGGGTCTGAGAAACCAAAAAAGAATTAGGCTAGGAAGAAATTTTAAATACATTCTCTATATTTGATCATAGGAACCAAAATCTAATACTTATTTTTAACTAGTTTATTTATTTTATTCATTTAGCATGTTTATTACTGCTTCCTATGCAATTATCTCTGAAAGAGTTCACAAAATACAAAATATTACTAATTTAGACATAACTTGGACTCAGATGGAAGAACACCAGAAAATACTTCAGGTTAGACTGGGAAACTCAGATTGGATAGTTGAAAAATATTCTGAAAAAGTCTATAATAATATCGATATCATTGCCAAGAATATTACATACAACCAGGATATCAGTTCTAGACCTGCCATGGAGATGAAAGCCAGCTGGTTGACTTTGGGCCAGTCACACTCTCTTTCTCTCAGCCCAGCTCAACTCAGAAGGTTTTTGTTATGGGGAAAATAGGAGGAGGAAAGAGTATTAGTATTTTTACTATCTTATACTGAATATTTTAAAAATGGGATAAAAATTTAAAAAGTTGAAATTGAGTTTAATTCAAAGGAGACTTACATAACAGTAACAATGATGATGGTATAGTGTGGGTGAAAGCATACACATTGACTCTACATAGTGAGACAGAAATATAAAGAATAGTTCCGGTAATAGTGAAATTACAAACACACTCTTGTCCCTGCTCACTTTGTAACATATGCACCATTAGTAATTTGTAACTTTCTAGATACATTCTTTGCTTCTAAAGAACTCAGTGGTGAATGGAATCAAAGAATTTCCACAAAAGGAAACTGCCAAAAAAAATTCATCATTAAGAAGTTGTTTTTAGTTGCATTTTGTAGCTGGCAGCTATAATTTTAATTCTATTCTAGACTCAGTGTGTGGTATGTGGATATTTTGTTTTGTTCATTTATACCTTCCCTTTCTTCCACCCCTGGGGACTTTCTTATTCAGAATTCTCATTTGAAGGATTCTCACTCCCTCCTTTTTTTTTCTCCCCCTCTTCCTTTCATGTGCATAATATGAAGTCGGTTTAAATCACTGTGTCTTCTTATTGCTTTTTAGAATCCAGTATTTAAGCATGTTTTTGAAATAACCAATCCTTGAATATTTTGTTTCTTTCTAAAATTATAGGACTTTTAAAATGTATGCTACCGATCTTTTATAAGTTTTTTCTTTTCTTAAAAAAGGTGTTAGTCACTATGACACATAGGGTGACTGTAATGAAAAAGAAAGGTAGTTTTTATTTTAAACAAATATATTTGTGCTAGAATAGTGTCTGGCAACTCTTTCTGTCAGTTCTGAAGAATCAGTTACATCACATAGGGCAAGTCTGCTATAAACTCTTTTAAGTGTTTAATTTTTTTAGTTAAGTTTTACTTAAGGCCTAATTTTGCCTATTTTCATTCTTCCTGAACTTCTTCAAATATTTTTTACATGTTTGGGGGCAGAGAACATTTTAGTATTCACAAGATATTTTTTCTCTGTGCATTTTCAACATGCATGTAGAATAGCTTTACAGTATATTTGCAGCTTATATATAAGTAACATTCTCCTCCATGCTGCCTCGAGATGTTAAGGCTGATACATCTGTTTTCATGTATGTTGGCTAATATAACTTGATCATCCCATTATTTTTAAATGTCTACTAACTAAAAAAATTTCAACATTGCACCATCATTACCATTGCCATAATTAACAATTACATTTTGTAGTCCAGCTTGCTATTCCATACATAACAATGAAAACTATATACACTCACGCACACACATAAAAAGAAATGCTGACTTCCCAACTCAAATTGCACTTGCCTTCCAGTTAAAATGAAACAGTGGAAGTGTTTGTTTCCTAATTTATCTATGAAATTTTTGGAAAGTATAATGGAACATTTAAGATCCAGAAATAAGCTTATTCTGGATAATAACATTATAGCACTTGGTGAAAATGTACATCAATCTATTACAACTGTAAAATGAATGTGTAATTCATGTCAGAAGGGCAGGTAAAGCAAATTCTAGGCTATATTATAAGTGTTTATTTTCAGGTTGTAAAAGTTTAGTATGACAATAATTAAAAGTGATGAATTAGCCCAAACTGTGAACATTGACAGAAAAGTATTTTTGCATATTTTTTTGTCATTGGTCCTAATTTATTTCTAATGCTCAAATATTTCTCATTAATGTAATGGAATTTTCTTCCTAAATTTTTACAGATGTCAGAGTCATAAAGTAATAGCTACTCGCTGTAATTTTACAAGAAAAAAAAAATCAATGTTACCTTGGACACATAACTGGGAATGAATGTCCATTAAAGATAAAAATAGAAGTTTGGCTAGATCTGAAACCTGCTAAATAGAATATAGAAATTATTTCATTATTTTCCTTACTTATCCTAAATTTGAATTCCCAGATCTGGATGTTTTATCAGAGTTCCTAGTTGCATTTGAAATTGATAGCATAGTAAGAAAAGGGAAACTGGAAAACATCTACAGAATTTAGTCAGACATTTTTGAGAACTAAGAGAAATGCTGTTCTCTTTCCTCTTCCCTTCCCTTCATTTTATTTGTGATTGGACGTAAATTGGCCTTCAAAGAGAACAAAGCTACAGGATAATACATAAATAATATAGACAGTGGAGAAAATTGTATTTTAGCATGTCTGCATATATTAACTTAAAGTACCATTTGTAGCATTTGACACAATTAATTTCCAAGTAAATAGGTTTGTGAACCTGGTTAATATTGCTTTTCTCTAAAACTAATAAGTCTAAAGAGAAGTGTAGAAAATGAATATAAGCCTATTTAATTATACCAACAAAAACCAGCTAATAACTGAAATGCTTTTCTTTCATTCAGTGTCCACTATTTTATAACTTTAGATTAATTTATACCTATGATAAAATGCTTCTGATTTCATATATAAAATATATTTTAAGGAAAATCAGTAGTTCCATCTGCATTGGCAGATTGACCCATTTATAATGACAAAGTAGAACAAGATTGTCATTGAAAAACCGACCAAGTTAATCTGTGAATTGGATTCCAGTTCTAATAACCTACTGTTTATCCAGAGAATCTTTATTTAGAAGTCGGTATCAAGAAAAAATAAACAGGCACTATCTGAATAACTTTTAAAATTATTTACATTGATGCTGTTACTATCCAAAAATGGATCATACTTCATTTCTTCTGCATGCAGGTGTAATTCTAATTATGGTTATGGAATGTACAAAATTTTTTAAAATTGAAGTTTACAAATGAAATTCATATCCACTGTCATTACTCTTCGATAATATTATGCAGACAGGAGATGATTGGATATTAATTGTTTAAAATATTTTATTTTGTAGCATCTTTATAGCAAGCCCACATTTAATAGGCAATGTTCTTTCATTTTTTTTCCAATTCCAAATTGAATACAAAGGGAAGATCAGTATCAGGGTTTAATTCTCATTTTTATGCTTATTGTTGACTAGAATTTTTTCATATGGAAATGACTTATATCTCATTATGTTTCCAGGAATTGTAATGTTCTTTTCTTCTCATCCTTTTCAAACCCCTGTTTATATGTGTGTATTTTTTTTCCTCTGCCTAGACCTGGTTAACCATTTATGTGAACAGGTCCTCAATTTTTTACTTTGTCCCTACTTTCCTGTCGTAGCCCCATCTTCCCCTGGTGTCGACTCCGTACCCTTACAGCGCACAGGCAGTCAACTCGCCACACAGAATGCATCAGCGACCTTCCAGAGGGCCAGCTATGCTGCCGGCCCTGCCTCCAATTACGCAGACCCCTACCGACAGCTGCAGTATTGTCCTTCTGTTGAATCACCATACAGCAAATCTGGACCAGCCATCCCACCTGAGGGAACCTTGGCTAGGTCACCTTCTATTGATAGCATTCAGAAAGATCCCAGGTGGGTAAAACTTCTATTTTTTTTCTATTATTAATTCATAAAGAGATGTTCAGCTGCAAGCATGGGTATCAAGGTGGTAGATTATTGCATAAACAAATAACCCAGTTCCATATTTTTTTAATGTAGTTCTATTTCATAAGCCAAACCAATTGGCCAGGAATACTGTTACAAAAAATGGACATCTATTAGCATTTTAATCTATTTGCATTTTTAACGACAGAAATAAGAAAATGGCACACATAAATGCATATTATAGTGTCCTTCTGTTCCTCTACAAATGTCTTATATGTAATTGATGTATATTAGTGTTTTTAATTACTTTGCTGTTAGTAAAGATTATTTTGGGTTAAGTGTTTTTAAAATGCCACTCAATTTCCTAAGTTAAGAAGCTGGTGTTAAATGTTTCCAAGGGTATTTTCATATGAATTTTTATTTAAATATAAAAAGTTGGAATCAAACAGGATGTCAACTCATAAAAGATTTTGTATACGTGTTTTATAGTTGACAACAGAAAGAAGGGGGGAAGTTTCAAAGAGCAGACAGCAGTATGGAATCAAAAGTACATTCCATTCATATTTTCTCCAAAGACTGATTAGATGACTGAAGCTTCTGCCGCAAAAAAATCTAATTGGAGAGCATGATTGATGACTCTTGGCTATGGAGGTTTTTTGTTGGATGATGCACCCAGAGGGGTTGTGGGGGAAAGCAGGATCAAGGATGATAGTTGAAGTACGTATCTCAGAGTTGGCTACACCCAGGTAAATGCCGGACGTAGAATGTTAACTTCAAATAAATCTTTTTTAGTTTTGGGAGTGTGGCTTGAGGCTCATGATTTAATTGGAATAACAACTGACACAGGAGTTACTAAACAAACAAACTTAATTAAAATATGCAACTAATTTTTACAAGACTTCCATTGCAAGTATTGTGGCTTTTATGGCATTTAAATGGGATAGACAAAAATGCAAAGTGTATCCAGATATCAGTGTTAGCCTAGGAGTTTTAAACCTGTTAGGCTTTTGCCTGTTTTTAAAAATTATTTTATACTTGATGAATTCTTTGGGTTCTTTTCCTTGCTTCTGTTATATTTTCTTTAACTGCCTTCTATTTCACTTTTTCCTAACAATAAAAAATATTTTAGGTAATTATTTTGTAAGTATTAAAAAGATAACATATTAAATGTGTAGAAACACTTGTTCAGACAAGTAGAGTACCTTAATTTTTTAACAAAATATTAAAAATATTTAAAAACCATGTATAATAAAGGGCTCTTTGTTTTTATGCATATGGTTAGAGGGGGACAGTATTTGAAAATCGCTCAGTCTATATAATAAAAGTTTTACATGGTCTCTTTGCTAGGACATTTTTGTTCTAAAACATATTTATTTATTTATTTGATTTATATTGCCACCTATTCGCCCATCGCGACTTGAGCGGCTTACACAGTGTAAAACCAAATTTAAAACAAAAAATAAATATAAATATATGTGATAAAATTTAGAAATCATTGTGTCACAAATATGGTTAGATTTTTAAATGTTGCTTCTGAAAAATATATGACTGTCACTGCTTAACACATCACTTTTTAACATGTTTCTATATGGAAGCTTTTTTAGAATTACAGAATGCCTGATAGCCTCATTTGCTAGATGGTCCCCTGTTGCATTATAATTTCAAATTTGGATCAAAGGGCAATCCATGTGCACAAATGTAGCAGGTAGCTGGGCCTACTAGAATGGAAAGCTACAGAACATCTTGCAAAAATTCTAGGGATTTTCACTGGACTGCCTCCTACCAGTCATAAAAAGATTGAAGTGGGAATCAAATGATTTCAGATGTTTTTAAAAAATTAAATAATGTCTTCCTGTTCGGACTGTGGTATGAATACAGACTGAAATTAGGCACACTTCACTAGCTATAATGAGATCAAACTTGACCTAGCTCAGCACAGAAAATATAAGCCCAATGCAGTTCCTGGTTAGACACATTACCTATAGCAGTTTCTAAAGCAAAGGTCCCTCTGCTTCATTTACTTGAAGATTCTACCTTTTGGGGGCGGGGGGATATAAGTTTTAATCAAAGGCAGTGAAAAATAAATTTAGCTCTTTACCCCAATGCTTTACCCCATGCTTTTACCCCAGTGTCATTTCAGTTTCTTTTTCTCTCCGGCGGGAGGAAGTAACTGACTCTGATAAAAAATATTTTTACCTCAGGATGTGTATTCTGTGTCTGGCCTAAACTGTTCTGAATATCTACCACTTAAGCAGCATTCAGAACAAGAACTTACAGAGTAAATGTTAAAAACAGTTCTGAAAAATGAAATCCAACTCTTCTGCTCTGGAAAACTTTTAACTATGTCTAAAAGTTTGCATTTATATAATTGCTCAATTATTAGCCACTTTTCTTTCTTTCTCATATTTCCCAGTTATTTCCCAAGTTACGCATTAGGGATTTGTATGAAATCCAAGGTTTTGTTTTCTAATTCTTTTGCAATAATGATTTCTGAATATGGTATATGTATCTGCATTGCAATGGGAATTTGATAAATGCCTAGAAACCTTTGTTAGAAAAAGTTGAAAAATTAGGAAGGGAATTCAGCTTTAGCTGAATTTCTGGCAGAGTGCAACTTTATATTATTGTTTTTTTAATGAAACCACTGACCATGGAATTCCTTTTCCACACCAGTGACTTATAATGCCTATCACTACACTGACGGTTTCCTATTAAAGTGCAAGTTAGACTTTCTAGTTCTTGCAAATTATACTTGTGCTTCAAATAATTAAAGCCATGGATTTGGAATATGTGTCTGTGTACATGTATTCAAGTTGGGCAGTAATTTTGCTTTGGTTACACAAAGATGATTCAGAGCACATGGGAGCAGAAGTATAGCACTTGTCTACAAATCTTTAAAATAGCTGTGTCTTTCCCCAGGATTACATTTAATCCCAGGAAGAGGCATGTTGCTTTAAGAAGTGCAAGGAGGAGCTATGTTTAGGTGCCTTTCTAGATCAGAATTGAAACACTGCACAAGCCTGATACATAAACACATACAGTTTAGGAATTTGCCAAAAATATAATTTGTAGAGTTTGTGTTTGAAAGACTCACTTCATTGAGAAGGGGATTATGGCAATGCCAATGGAATTCTGCAGAGATGATCCCAATTGTTCGGCATGAGAAAATATCTGAAAGAGTAGATATATTCACATCAGCCATCAAGGTTAACATTAATTCCAACTGAAAGATTAAAATACATCCCAGGCAACAAACATAGCAGACCATAATCACTTGGAAGCTAGTTCTTGGTAACCCATTTGCATTGCTTAGTCAGCCGAACACTTCCCAAGAATTTAATTTTGCTAATAATTTGGCTACAAGCATATTCTGCAGTTCTCAATTTGCAGCCCAATGTGCTTACCACAGGATGTGATTGACATAATAATTACAACTACAATACTGTTAAGCTATCCTGATCAGAGTTGGAGTCACCAACAAATGAGGAAAGGCAAATGATTTTCTCACTGTGTCTTAGTTCCTGCAAAAGTTTTTTTTTTTAAAGTAAGAACAATAGTTGTGAAGTGATCTGAGTTTGTGGTTACTCCTTCACCTTACTCCGTTTTCCTTATTACAGCTATCAGGATTGCAAAAATGAAGACAACCATTAGATGGCAAGAGAGTTGCCATGTTCTGTATCTCTTTACCACCATCTACCATAGTAATATTCCAGATTTTTGCAGTTCCAATATGTTGGCCTTGATCATTATTCTGGATTTGCGCAACATGCTGATCTGTAGTTAATTATTCTATCTTAATACAACTAGTTAACAACCAGTTATCTAATAGATTTTGCAGCTCAAAAACAGTGTGTCCACTTTAAGCTATGGACTGTGTTTGGATGATATGATAAAAGGACTACCAATATTTGGACTGCAAATATTTGAACAAGTATTAGAAGGCAACGAGGAGTCACAGTTTGCTGCATTCTTTGCTTCTGTGTTTCAAACATTTGCAGACATATTGATTTTGCAGATATAGTAGTTATACTATACTGATACTTAATAACACAACATAGTCAATGGACTCCAGCTCAACATCAGTTTATTATAATTGCTTCACTTTGCAGGAATACTAAACAGTGAAGAATTATATTTTTTTTAAAGTATATTTAGGCTTTATTCAACCATTATATGGCAGTAAACCCTACTGCAGTTTTTGTTATTTCCTATATAGAGTTTTATAATATAGTTGTTATGGAAATGCACCACAGGCCTTGATTCTGACTAATGGGAATGTTCCTGTTAATATTCAGAGGCCTTCCTCCTCTGGCTCTTGCTTTGAAAGTTCCGTTTCATTCCCTCTGCTGAGTTTAATTTCCTATCATGTGGAGAAGGAAAGTTCCTGGCTTAGTATCTTCAAAGACTTTATATCAATAGGCCTTCTTGTATCCCTTGCTTTGTTCTCTTTTCAAGGGGAACAGAGCTTAATATCCCATATTCTTTGTGGACCATTGGCATTCATATTTGCCTCACTATCTAGGAAGAACACTATGTTCTTTTCACAAGCAGTTTATTCATTCATTTTTTTTCATCAGGGAAAACCAACTGATAATAAAAAGTTGTAATTGCAACCTTTTTACAAATCTTATTTTGAATATATTGTGAGAGTAACATATGGAGGGCAGAATACAGGTTTAAGATAAATTGATCTTTTTCCCCTGGAAGTATTCTTACAGTAAATCTGACTTATTTGTTAGGATTTGTTTTCTTGCAACATAGAATAAGGAATCAGCCACAGTATAAATTCCAGTATTGTACAGCTTTACAAGCATATCTTTTGTCTGTATTCAAGTAGTACAGAGTCACATAAAGCCAAGCCAAAATTCACTGAAAGATTCTGTTACCTTGTGCCACCTTTGTGTCTTTGAGTCATACACATGCAAATAGATAGATGTGTATGTGCGCACATGTGCTGTGATGAATAAGGTGCTGGAATAGGAGTGGGG